TTGAGAAAGGGACAATTCTTGCTCTACAAGTTGGTGCAGTTCCCGTCACGGTTGGATAGCGTGGCAAATTGCGTGGTGTCGATTCCGCGGTGCATTGGTTCCAGAACGGCAAATCGTCTATTAATTAGTTGCAACACTTGCGATCAGAACCTGCATAGTGCTCCCAACCGGATCTTGAGTTAGTGAGTGAACATGGTGCCAGATCCACCATGTTGTTTTTAAGGGGATAGAGCGCAAGCCCTTTTAGAGCCTAGTACCCTCTTGCACTAGGTTTTTGCGGTTGACTTAATTATTTCACTTGGAACTAGTAATTGGTTCTTTTTTCTTATAAGAAGAGAATCGTTTGCATATCCCAACGCTGGTCGGTTTTGAACCTCAAGGACTAAGATACATGACCAAAACTATTTAGACGTTAAAGGCTACCTATTATCATCTGTAACAACAATTGTGGTTGCTAATTCTTTACTCAACCAGTCTATCTCAAGATGTGAAAATCAACTATGGTCTAAATTTCCTTGACGGCTAGTTCTAGAGTGTTGACACCGGTTCTCCTCCATTCTCACAAATTATTGCGGTCCAAGAAGAAGCATTTTGGAGCAGCCAAGGTTGCAATGGACAGGTTCAATTTTTCCCAACCAGATTGCTGTATGTGCTCCAACTCATCTTCGATATCCTTCATACCTTGGTGAGAAACCACACAACGAAAGAAGCTGGGCAGATGAACAATTAGAGTTGGATAAGTAATTGAGAATTTAGGTCGGATGAACTTAGGTTAGGATTGGATGAACTTTTGATCAAGATGAATCTTCATTTGTGGATGAATTTTTATTTGTAGATGAATTTTTGTTGATTGTGAATTAAAATAAAAAAATAATCTAGGCATGAAATTCTTTGTATAATTTTATATGCAAGTACAAATTATAGGAAAGGATTGTATTGATGAATTGGATTAATTTAGAAAAGTTAAAGAAGAATTTAATAAGATTTAAGTAATAGTTATGATTGATAGATTATATGGATAAATAAATTGTTATGAATTAGAATAACCTTCCAATTAGTAGAAGTCGATGTTGGCTCACATAACATAAATTGATAATTTGCTTACTTTTAGAGGGGATTGATCCACATTACAACCTCCATCTAAAGATAATAATTCATATGGTGGCAATTCAAAATCTTTCGTTTTAATAACAACATTGTTTTAAGATTATAATATACAAACCTCAATAATGTCCATAAGGAAAAGAAAAAAACTTGCAATTATTGCCTGTAATTTTTTTTTTTTTAAGTTTTTAATATATATATATTCCTCTACTTTAAACAAAAAGAATAAAATGAGACACACTCTCCAAGTTTGTATTGTGTATTCACTAAAACATATTTACATTGATAGCTATCACATATAATAATGATGAGTACAAGGACTATTAGCAACCAAGTTCTCCTCTCCTTAGGATTACATCTACAAATAATATCAATTTATGGAGACATAATTTCTTAATTAAGTAAAGTACTACTTAATCACTAATTAATGTGTAATCTCTTGAATTGATTTTATAGCTCTATTTTTGGCCTTTTTCTATTCTAGTCCTTATTTGTTATTTTTTCCCACATTATCTCGTTTTGCAACTTTTATACTATCACTTTTTACAAAGATCATACATTTCTTGTTTCATTTTTTTTTTTTTTTTTTTTTTGATTTATTTGAGGTATAAAAGCAAGTTATGTATCAATCCAACTTCAATTTGAAAAATGAAATCAGATATTTATTTTTGAATTTTGTCTATAAATATACTTTGATCAATCTACTAATTTAGCTTTAAGTAAAAATAAAACATCAAATGATGCTAACTTTTGTTTGAATTTAGAAAATTATGCCCCTGCTAAATAATTGAGCAATTTTATCTTCTTCAATTTGAATCAATTTTTTTCTATTAAGCCTCTTTGTCTTCAAAAAGTCATTTCTAATACAAACTCAAAAGACTACTTTTGAATACCAAACTTGCTAGTAAGTACGCTTGCATCATCTTAGATTTTTATCTATGAACAATTTTTGTTCAAAAAAGACCTTGAGTACATCTAAGCTACTTAATCCTATTCATATAATCAAACTAATTGAATTTACTTTGTTCTCTATAATATATTTTTCTATCTTCTAATATGGTATTAAAGCTATCGTAGTATCTCATTTTTTCTCTAAAGTCATAGTACTATTTCACTTAATATGTTTTCATGTGACTTGAAGATAAATAGATTCAAAAACTTAACTAAGAGATACTTTGAAGGTATATAATTTGTTAATATGAATACCACTCATATGACACAAGCAGTCATCAGATCCACAATAATAGCTAAAAATAGACACACAACCATTTTAGAAGCATATTATTTTATAAATATCAAAAACTATAGCATGTAGGCATTTAAAATAAAGAACATAGTAAAGGGAGATGGTTTATATTGTTACTTCATCTTGTTGCCAACCACCTTTATGGCATTCAATTTAAAGATTCAAGAAAGGAGGCAACATGAAGTGCCCTCAATGATTGCATAAAAAATATCAAATTATTCAAACAATATGACAAACTATACATATGCTAGACATTATTCAAGGCACATTATAAGTCTGACAACAATACAAGAAAAATATTATTTCTTGACAATATATTTGGAATTAAAAAAATGAGTAATATCATGAATATCCTACTGGTATAAAAGAATCAACGGATTTAGTAGACAAAGTAGATTGTAGACCATTAGAACCAATGTTGTTTATTACACTTTAATAAATCTTCCTAAGAACTATGATACAACATGCCAAGTAATCTTCACAAAAAAAAAAACTCTCTACCTACTTAAAACTTGAAGGTAGATAATTAGAAGAAGATTTGAATGAAAGGCTCAAAAATAATGATTAGAAAAACAAAACATTGTTCATATTTCAAAGTAACTTGAGAAGGCTCTTCAATAGGAATAACTTGAACCAAAATAACATAGTATATTACTAAAATTTAGGTTTTGGAAACAATAGAACTCTAACTCACGATCATCTTATTAATATGGTGAAAACTAATCATACTTTAGTAGAGATTGTTTATACAACCAATATCCAAATAGCTTTCAATCTCAACACAATGTTGATTGATCTCAATATTGTCATCCTTTAAGATCATTAGGAGACTTCAAAAAGAAGAACAACTCACTACAAGGCAATTTTAAATTACTCCTTGATTAAATACAAGAAATAGAGTCCATGCTCCAATGTAGTGACCATATATCATATGGTTGTTCCAACGTATAAATCAATAATATTGATATTGAATTGAATGATGATGACATTGACAATTACAAAACATCTGTAATTAGTAAGAAGAAAAAGTTGCATGATGTCACAAACATACATATTTATTCCAATATTTATCTATATGATTAGATAGAAGTTGATAAAAATAGATTTATTTCATAATATTTTTTAAAAAAGCTTCTTAAAAGCTTTATAGACATAGTTTTGACTTTATACATATTTGTAGTTGATTAATAGATTAGAAACTTGGTTAATAAGTTAACCATGTATCACACATGTTAGTAGCTTGTGGAATAAGCTAATTAAGTGGCACACATATAAAAAAATTACCTTGTAAGTTAAGAAATGTATCTTGCAAAGTCAACACATGTTGGAGGTGCTATAAGACATTGCTATATAGCTCCTAGTTAGATAGTATATATGGAAGCAAGATTGAAGCCTTGTTTACTCTTCTCAATGCCTTTCTAATCCTTAGTCTTATTTCAAAACTTTCTAGTCTTCTTATCTTTAGCAACAACTATTTTAGTTTAATATTATATCATCTTTAAGTGATTTTTTACTCATTTTAAGTGACAAAAGAGTTTATTAAGTTTTCTTTCTTCAAGATTCATATCCTTGATACACAAATTATAGAAGCATACATAGCAAAAATAAAAAATAAAGATTTGAAAATATTATCCTTAGCGTGATACCTTGACTATGGCACTTCCAACCACTTCATATGTGATATTTTAATTTTTTCATCTCTCACTCTTAGTTCTAGAATTCAAGTATCTTTTGCCAATGGACAAGAACATAATATAATTGGCATGGAAAATATGATAATTTTCCTTTTTAATAGTAAAATATAACATATCAATTATGTGCTTTACTCTCTGGAAATTCAAAAGAATTTGATATCTATTAGCTATATTATAAACAAAAAACTCATGACTCAATTTTTTAATGATGAATGTCAAATAAGAGATTAGAATAGCAACCTATTGGCAATTGTAATATAAGACAAGTGCAATGACTTATATAAATTGTTAGGAGAAACTATCCACAATTGTTTTGAGGTTCTATCATGCACAACATACCTGGTCATTGGAAGCAACCACAAAATTTTGAGCTACTCAATCAAACACCTTTTGCAAATCTTGTTATGGCACAAGAAGCTTAGACATTTTAACTAAGAAAAAATCAAACAAATGATTAAAATATTTGTCAAATGGATTATCAAATCTTATTATTAGTAACAAGCCTTGCACAACCTGCCATTAAGAAAATATAGCAAAAAGAACATTCCATAAGTCAAAACTATCAAAACCACTAGAATTCTCCAAATGATCCACACAGATGTTGCCAGACCTTTCTGCCTTCTATCGATTGGAGGATCAAATTATTTCTGATTTTTTTTGATGTTTTCTTAAGATTTTTCTTTTTGTATACTTTCTAGTGCACAAAGACGAGCACATCAAAAAATTTAGAACTTTTATAAAGAAGTGGAGAAGTGAACAGGACATCTTATAACAATCTGATAACGTTGGAGAGTTTCTATCCACCAAAAATTAAATACGGTACGTGGCGAGTACCATATGTGGGCTGAATACTGTATAAAGATTGGATATGGTACGAAGACCGGATACCGTACGGGTCCGGATACATATGGGGCCGGGTACCGAGAAGCGTTGGAGGCTGCTGGCTGCCGACAGGGGTCTGGAGTGCAGTTTTTTTTCTCTCTTTTTGCGTTTTCTTCCGAATAGCCAAGCTCTGAAAATTGTGTTCCGGTGTGTGGTGCGCACTGTGTTTTTTTTGGTGTGTTGCGGCTAGGGCAGCATCGTTATTTATGCTACTGCATTGTCAAACTTCTTTCCATCTTTTTTTGTTTATTGCAAGGACTGTGGTAGTGCCGCCAGCTCCTGTCTATGTTCCTTCTTCCTCTTCAATTCAGTGCTAGGTTCCCTCAATCTCTGTGACTCTGCGAAGTTGCGGAATCTGGGTCGGTTTTGCGCGGCGCTCTGTGGTAGCTCCGGATTTCCTACGTCGTTGTTCTGCCGTTGACGAACTTTACCGGTGCAGTGTTGTTGCCCTTTAGAGGATTCTGCCTCGTCTTCAACTCTTCATTCCCTTGTTCCAGTGGATGGTCTGCGGTATGTTCTTTGGTGTGCTATTATCAACGGCACGGTTTTTTTTTCTTCCCCTTGTCTCAGTGGTTGACTTGTGTGTTTGGTTTTGTCTTTCGAAGGTGGGCTGGGATTTTCAAGAGTTAAATAATCAGTTGCTGAGCCGGAGTGCTGCATTATCATTGCGTGAATAACCACCGTAGATGTGGTACTGTAGAGGGCTACAAAGCGTAATGGCATCCCGCCGTGGGGTTGATGTTTTAATGTGCAGGGATTCAGGGAAGTAAACTGCCGATTGTTGTAGGGAGTTTTGGTGATGCCGGAGACGACGTGTGGTTGAGTGCAATCTCTAATTTCCTCCTTCATGCACGCGGATGCTCTCACTCTCCACTAAGCGGCTCGGCTTTATCTTCTTCTTGTTCTCAGTTCCTAGCATTTGCTTATCTACAAAAGGTTCGGTTAATGCTGCTTGTTTGTAGTTGGTTGCAGTCGATTGATCTAAGCTAGGGCATGGTTGTCGGCATCAATCGGTGTCCCACTTGCACCAAGGCTTAGTTGGTAGTTAAGATTTGGGCGTCATTCTCTCAGCAGCAGCTGGAGTGTAATGGTCGAGCTCTCACTACATGTGTGTTTGCTGGGTTTTGAGAAATTCTCGCCACCTTCTCGCAAGCACGTCGGTGAACAGTAATTGCACAGTGATGCAGATACACAGACACTTGTTGAATATGCCTGTAGTACTGTGATCGATTGGTAGTATGACTGTGGGCGGATCAAGATTGCCGCTGGATTCTTAGTTTGCAAGGGTTGTCCTAAATCTTTGATCCACTTGTGCATCTCCTAACAAGACCCCTGATGAGCTCTTTTTTGGAGTTAAATCAAACATATTACATCTTTGAATAAATGGATATCTGCGTTACAAATTCATGCCTCCAAAAAAACAAACTCAACCTTTGCACAACTAAGCACCTACACTTAGCTTTGAAGATAATGTTAAAAAATATCACTGCTATGACATGTATGAATTAAAATAACCTCCCACTAGTTGGTGGGTTGCTCTAGTCTACAGTAATTACTTATTTTATAATTTAATCATATAAATATACTACCCTATGTGCTTATTAAAAAACTCCTTTAAATTCTTAAAATCACAAATAACCATGCATTCAAAAATAACAATGCATGCAATGTAAATCGATCCTGAGCTATCAACTCTTCAATTTTTTAATATTTTCTATTAATATTCATCCAAGTACAAATTATCATCTTCAAATAAATTTCATCCAATAAGCATTCATTCACATATGAATTCATCCAAACTTTATCCAAATTGCAATTCTCATCCAAATGATTCTCACCACTCACAGGAGACGTTGGAATGATTTGGAACAGCGGAAAATACTTCAATCCCTGTGCATTCGGCTTCAGATGATCCTTTTATTCAATGCGGTGCACTGTTAACTGCTTGGCCTCCTAACAATTCCAATAGCTTCTTATGGGAATCTCCTCTCTGGGTTTTGGCCTATAACGGTATTAACTAGAACGGACTCTACTGGCATGCACAATATGCCTCAGTCTAATAACTTAATAAACTCAGGCTCTATATATTGAGAACAAGGTTTTCAGCTACACCAATTATGATATTAGCTGTGAGTCACTCAATGTCGCGCTTATAACAGCCTCAGAAATGCCGTTGGTCGTAGCAACAAGCCACCTGAAGCACTTCATTCCAAAGTACCCAATTAATTTAGTCCATCTTCTGCACTATACCGATTCGACAACCTCTGGATTAGGTCGCACCAATCAGCGACTACATAGTTGGTTCACTTGGCGCTGCCACCACAAAAAACTACCGCTCGAGAACAATAAGGAATGACTTGACAGGAACTCCAGCCGTGTGAAGAGGTCAACCCGCAGCTCGTTGCCAACACAGTAGCAAAATTTGTAAAATAAAAAAAAAGGAAAACCATCTAGTCGACGATCTCGCAGTCCACAATCGCTTTTGATCCAATATCTTCACAAAAATCCAACCGGTGAAGCACAAAAAGTGTAAGCACACCGAAACTTCGTTGATGACAAGAATCAGAAGTGGACCTCAACGGCACTGCCGCCGCAGAGCAACTAGATATTAAATTGCGCACGACGGGGGTTCAACCGCTCTGCAACAGTTGGTTATTAGCCAAGGGACGGAACGAAGCAACATAAAATCTCATCACAAAATAAGACAAAATAGATTAGAATAGAATTGAACGAAATTAAATAAAAAAGGATATGAAAGACAATTGAGTACATGGAAATAGAATTGAATAAAAAGATGCAAAACCAAACTTTACTAAGAGAAAAATTCTAAAGCTATATCTGACCACATGCTCCAAAAGGCCTTGGCTAGTCTTATATATACCTTATCCTACTACCTTGGACTTTCAAAAATATTCTTAGGTGGTAGACTCTGCCTAAATAACTATCTTAAATTCTTTTTTTAGAAAGTTCTATGATAGGCTCCATCTAAATAACTGCCCTAAACTCTTCTAGAATGTTCCATGGAGGGCCTTAGTTGATCCACTAATCTAATCCCAATTCTAAAAACTTCCATATTTCTAACTATTTATATAAAAATCTTTTCTATATCTTGTTATACCAACTAATTATACCACCAACTAATAAGAATGTATAACCAATGGTTGAATGTCATATATCAATATTTCTTGTATAGTCTACTTCACAATAATCAATGACTTGTAAATTCAAAGAGCTTTTATTATATTATAGCACATGATATTGAAACATAGAAAGCAAACTCCACACAAGCAAGTTAGGACCAGCAAGGTTGCACTTCACAAATAGAATGTGGTATGAGATAATTCTTCCCATGCCAACCCTTTTCTTATATACTAGTACCAAGGTACCATGTGTTACAACCCATATGGGATATCTCTTAGGACCAGCCTCTCCTTGTATTCTAAGGCACTATAGACCAGCAACTAACCTTGTAGGATATCCCTCATTACTCATATACTCTATTGACCATTAGCAACAACTAAATGAGTTCTTTCCTTCAACACTCCCACTTTGCTATTGGTCAATTAGCTATCAATCCTAATGCCTTACTCAATATGTTGTGTCTCTCTTTCACTAAGGCTTTTGTTAGCAAATCAGCCAACATGTCTTTGGTTTCACAATACATCATATGAATAACTCCCATCTCTATCTTCTCTCTTATAAAGTGGTGTTGAATATCAATGTGCTTGGTTCTTGCATGATGCTTTGGATTCTTTGCAAAAGCCAAACATCCTTGATTGTCACATCTCAATGGAGTGGCTTCCAATTGCACAAGTCCAATGTCTTCCAACAACAACCTCAACCAAATTGCCTCCATTGCTCCATGACTTGCTGCCATATACTCCGCCTCCATTGTGGACCTTGCAATGGTTGGTTGTCTCTTACAATTCCAAGATATGGCTCCCATTCCAACAAAGAATACATAGCCCGTTGTTGATCTTCTATCATTTGTATCTCCAGCCCAATCCGCATCACAATATCCATGTAATGCAATATTATTTCCTTCAAGTCATAGTTTATGGTTCAAAGAGCCTTTCAAGTACCTCATGATTCTTTTGATGGTTGCCCAATGCATAGGACATGGTTTTGCCATGTGTTGACTTACAACACTTACTGCAAATGCAAGATCCATCCTTGTACCCACCATTGCATACATGAGTGAGCCTACTGCTGCCTTGTATGGTATGCCTTGCATTTGATGCTCAACTTCAGCATATTCCACATCCGTGAGCTTCATCAACTTCAAGTTGGCCTCCAAAGGAGTTCCAATGGGCTTGCAATCTTGCATGTTGAATCGTTTCAATACTTCTTCAATGTACTTGCTTTGACTCAATGTGATGGTCTTTGATACTCTATTCCATGCTCTTGGTAATTGCTTGAGTCCATACAATGACTTCTTCAACTTGCATACAAGGTTGGGTTTGTCTTGATCAATAAATCCTTGAGGTTGCTCCATGTAGATGTCTTCTTCCAATTCTTCATTCAAGAAGGCTGTCTTGACGTCCATTTGATGCATCTCCAAGTCTATTGATGCTCCAATTGCTACTATGGTTCTAATGGTAGTGAATTTGGCCACTGGAGCAAATGTCTCATTAAAATCCACTCCAGCAACTTGTGAGTAGCCTTTGGCAACCAATCTTGCTTTGTACCTCACAACATTGTCCATAGCATCTCTCTTGGTTCTAAACACCCACTTACATCCAATTGTTGAACGATTTGGTGGAAGTGGAGTCAACTCCCATGTCTTGTTGTCCATAAGAGATTTATACTCTTCTTGCATAGCAATCTCCCACTTCATTGCATCACCACACCTCATTGCATCACACAAAGTCAATGGATCATCAAGAAGAGCAACATTGGCCTGATCTTCACTTACTTGTGGAAAGATGTGGTTCTTCCACCATTCACCTTGTAGTCTTCTTTCACGTGTTGGATATCTTCTTTCATGCAAAGAAGATGAGCCTTCATGCACCTCTTGCTGCCTTCTATGGCTCATACACTTCCTTCTCTCATTCATTGGTTGATATTCTTCATCTTCATTCTCTTCATTGTCCTTGTTGTATCTTGCTGGAATTGAAGTCTTTATAGAGTTGGGCTCTTCTTCAATGATATCTTCATTTCCATCTTCACTTTGAGAATGCTCTTCTTCATCTTCTTCTTTGTTTGCTGAAATTGAAGATGTGTCCACAAACACACCACTACTCCCACTTGGACACATCTCCCACTTTTCACTTGCACTCTTATACTCCAAGAACTCTACATCACGACTTTTGATGATGTTTTTGGTGTCTAAACACATGAGCCTATATGCCTTGGTGCCTTCACAATATCCAAGGAATGCACATCTTGTGCCTTTTGCATCAAGTTTGCCTCTCATACTATCTGGAACTTTAGCATATGCAATGCATCTAAAAATCCTCATATGAGATAAACAAGGTTTCTTACCAGTCCAAGCTTCTTGGGAAGTCATTCCTTCAAGTGCACTTGTGGGACACCTATTTCTTGTATATACGGCATTTACCACAGCTTCCGCCCAATACTCATATCCAAGCTTTTGAGCATGAATCATACTCCTTGCCATCTCCACAATGGTGCGATTTGCTCTTTCAGCAACTCCATTTTGTTGTGGGGTATAGGGAGTGGAGGTTTGTCTTGCAATGCCTTCATGCTTCAATAACTCATCAAAGTCTTTGGACAAATACTCACCTCCATTGTCCGATCGCAGCACCTTAATCTTGTGCTCACATTGCTTCTCCACAAGTGCTTTCCACTCCTTAAACTTAGCAAAACACTCACTTTTGGCCTTGATGATATAAATCCATACCTTCCTTGAAAAGTCATCAATAAATGTGACAAAATATCTTGCTCCACTCATAGATGGTATTTTCATGGGTCCACAAACATCCGAATGCACAAGCTCCAGCAATTGATTTGCTCTTGTTGCAATTCCACTAGGAAATGGTGTCCTATGTTGTTTGCCTTGAATGCAACCTTCACAAGATAGATTCATAGTAGAATGGCCAAGGTCTAAGCCACTTACCATGGATTGAAGCTCCTTCATGCTTTTGGCATTCAAATGTCCAAGTCTTTGATGCCAAATGTCCACCTTATCTTCATTTGATGGAAATTCAGCAAAAGCAGCAACCTCTACTCCATTGATGCGCTTGCAATTGATAATATAGAGATTGCCATCTCTAATCCCTTTTGCTACTTCTTTGCCTTCCATGGTTCTCACAAAACATCCATTCATATTGAATTGCACTTTGCACCCATGACTTACAAGTTTACTCACCGAAAGGAGGTTCTTCTTCATCTTTGGCACATGCAACACATCCTTGAGTGTGATCCTCTTGCTTATGCCCTTGA